AGAATTTACTAGTGTTTTAACTGGTTTTACCTCTTTTTTATTGCTTTTGTGGGTGGACGAGCTCACAGTCCACCTGGTGTTAAGTGGTTACCTGAGCTCATAGACATCTACAACGTAAATGCGCCACCCACCTTGAGATATAAGTTTTAAGGTCTCAGTATAGTTACAACGGCTGCCCCACCCTTCGAACCGAAACGCATTACTGCTTCACGGCAGAAATAGGCAGGGTGGTGGTACCTACCCGTGCGGACTCACAAGAGGTCCTACCACCAGTAGTAGTAGGATATCTTTATAGCTAGCTTTCGTCGACGCTACAAACGATGACAAATACAACCTGCAATGCTCTGTGATTTTGAGTCTTGGATAACGAAAAAATCCACGAGTAAAAACTCTAAAAACAAACGAGATGAAAACCCTAAGATGATTTGGGGATGTAACCAGGCTCGACAATGTGCAAAATGAGCACATACAGGGAAACTTCAAGCTCGTTCCAATTGTTAAAAAACTCACAAGAGCTGTCTTAAATGGTACGGACACGGAGGGGCCATAACTACGCCCTTTATTGAGCACTGGACTAGCACCGCTTAAAAAAAAGGCAGAGGATATCACCCTTCGGGCACATGGTGGATAAATATGACCCGAACATTTAGACCCAACTTGACAGTGTGACAAGTCAGGACAAAAGTCCCTGGCGCAGAATAATTAGGAGAGCCAATCCAGCCTAAACTGGGAAGAGGAAAAGAAACGTAAAAACAGAAATGTCAACATAAACAACTGAAAAGTAATCTTTATCTCGTGACTAAAGTAAATATATAGATAAATAAACATTAAATAAACAACAAGATACAAAATTTAAAAGCCTAAAAACTTAAATTCCTATTGAAACACTTAATTAATTAGACAATGTATAATAATTCTAGAAAATTACATTTTACTGAAATCCTTTTTTTTTGTATTTTAGCAGAAGAAATTTGATATTTTTTTTTACATTTTTATTAACAACACAAATAACCCTAACCACTCTTATAGTACTTGTGAGAACAGTTTACGACCGTGCGTGTGAGTTCATATTTATTGTGATGATTCTGGTTCCAATTCGAGATGCTATGATTGCTTTATCTACAGCAGAAATAGGAACTAACACATCAAACTCGCACTAGCCTAATATTCTTCCAGTACTTTGGAATTACGGTGGAATAAACTGTCACTTCTGAAATAACTCCACAAAGGTACGCCGGTACACTAAGGCAACATTCACGAAATCCTATATTGAATGCCCCTGGTCACGCAAGATCCTATTAGTAAGGAGCAAAATATCCTGGATTTAAGAGCAGCAACAGCGTCAACTCGTGTAGCTCAACTGAATTCATCAGTGTAAAGAAAAGAGACGGCGCACAAACTTCTACCTTATCTACTTACTTATTATTACTACTTATATATTTCTATAAGTACTACACTAATCAAATTTCCGATCATTTCTAGTCACTAAACAGGACTTAGGTCAATTTAAGTGACATGGCATGTTTAGTGGGCCCCATCTTCATGGAGGGTATTTTTCTATTTCTTCTTGGTGTTTTCTTTTTACTTCATCCGGTTTTGGTTCTAGGATTTACATTTTATAACCATAAACCTTTACACTAAAATTTCAATTATCAAATAAACAATGCGGCCGTTCGTCTGTGAAATCAGTTTCTTAGCTTGTGACGTATTACTTCGTTAGAGAATCGAGTATCTCACTATGAACATGTTACCTTCGTTCTTTTGTAAAAGATTGTTTACATTCCGGATATAGAGATAGCGTTAGCGTATCGTGACGTGACGAGACGGTTTTGTAGAAGCCGCGCAACAAAAATCATCATCATCAAAAATTATCATATCATACATATCTGTCATGGCACTAAAATTAAACTATTTTTTTTTTATTGTTTAGATGGGTGGACGAGCTCACAGCCCACCTGGTGTTAAGTGGTTACTGGAACCCATAGACATCTACAACATAAATGCGCCACACACCTTGAGATATAGGTTCTAAGGTCTCAGCATAAGTTACAACGGCTACCCCACCCTTCGAACCGAAACGCATTACTGCTTCACGGTGGAAATAGGCGGGGTGATGGTACCCACCCGTGCAGACTCACAAGAGGTCCTACCACCAGTGATTACGGAAATTATAATTTTGCGGGTTTGATTTTTATTACACGATGTTATTCCTTCATCGTGGAAGTCAATCGTGAACATTTGTTGAGTACGTATTTCATTAGAAAAATTGGTACCCGCCTGCGGTATTCGAACACTGGTGCATCGCTACACACGAATGCACCGGACGTCTTATCCTTTAGGCCACGACGACTATAAACTAAAGTGTGTTTGGCGAATTTGGAAATTTGGAATTTAAAATTCACGCATCAAAGGTTCTATAGTATTTCTATGGATAATGATAAAATATTTCATGATAAGTGAAGTTTGAGGAGTCAGTCATGAGAGACAGCGGCTTTATGGTGTTCTTGGCATTGATAATGTAATAATTTTGACGGTGACCATGGCGGAGCTCATCAAAGGCAATTAAAAAAGTACGCATAATGTTTAAATTTATTTTCCAGTTTTTTCTCAGCACAAGCTTGTAAACAAATCGTTATCTTCTAATTTCTCGAGAAAGTTCCTATGGTCTCAAAAAAAATTATTTATTTTCATAAATTACCTTTAGAGCCGGGAATGAAATTTAATAAAGACAACTTCAACAATCTTCGAAATTAAATAGAAGAGAAAATAAATCGATTGCTTTTTGATAAGGCCAGTAGTTAGAACAGTTTATATTTGTGTCATTCACACTGTAAATACCCTTAAGCATGAGTACGAGAGACTGCCTCATAGAAATCCGGTAATTCTACCATTTCAACTAATCTAAACTGAGTGCTAAACTATTCTTAAGTATTAATATACCTATCTCCTGAATTTTACTGACCACACACTTCATACCTTTATTGTCTACCATTTCTACCATTGTCTAATTTCGAAGGAGATCGAATAGATTTTTTTAGGTTTAGGTTTTTTACCATAAATCACACGGCCTACGTAGCGGTAAGTGGCTACTGCAACTGCAAGTAAGCAGAATAGCTTTACAAAAAAGCAAAAAAAAGTATTTCGAGGCGCGTCAAGGTATTCACATTATGACGCCTTTAAGCTAGCTCATTTAATCACTTAACACCAAATGGCTTATGAGTTCGTACTCCCATCAATACAATAAAAAAAATTGTTTATATCAAAGTCAACCATAACTTAAAAAAAAGGTTTATCACGCTGAATGACTAAAATATCTTAACAAAATTCAAATAAATACAATAAACCTATCTCTAATCCCTCTGTCTACAATAAAAGTGTTTCTAACCCATAGTTACGACCTCTGATATTGTTTATTCAACTAGTCTCCTCACAAAAATTGATTCGATAATATTTTCATAGCATTTCTACATATGTATGTAACACATATTCCCATCTAGGGATCAAACGCAAGTGACATTTGAATATTAACGTAATCTTCGTCAATATGAATACGTGACAGTATTGAGATAGAATTTCGGTATATGTCCAAGAACATAGATACGACGAAACCAATTTACGCGGACCGAGGACTAATAAGTTAATTTATATGCGATTTTAATTTGAACAAAGAGTTGAGACAGTACAAGGACGTTATGTCTCGAAAATAGTTCTTAGTGATAGGCAGTTATAACTAGTCAGGTCATAAGTATTGTCACACAGTAAAAACTTTTCTTTTAGAATGCTGGCCACAAAAAAGTTGATTGAATTCGAATTTCGAATTGTTCATGAAAATAAAATTGTATACTTTTAGAATTTTACTCATTTTTAAATATGGAGTGGACGCTTAAAGAAGACCGTGTTGCAGTTATTGCGTTGCATCGTTGCGGTTACTTTCCAATTCAAATTTTTAACATACTGAAAAATTTGAATATAACCAAAAGATTCGTTTATCGTACCATCAAACGATACAATGAAGACTCTAGTGTAGATGACAGGTCAAGAAATGGTCGCCCTCGGTCTGTTAGGACTCCAGCAGTGATAAAAGCTGTGAAGACGCGAATTCAAAGAAATCCCAAACGTAAGCAGATACTGTTGGCCCTTCAGATGGGGTTAAGCAGAACCACGGTGAAAAGGGTGTTAAATGAAGACTTAGGGCTTCGGGCATATCGAAAAAAAACAGGACATCGTTTGAATGCTCGTNAAACGAATATTGCTGATATTAACGAATCGGTACGATATGCCGATGCGCATCACATCGAGCAATATCGTGTATCGGCTGATATCGAAATATAGATTTCGATTCACGAATCGGTACGATATGGCGATGCGCATCACATCGAGCAATATCGTGTATCGGCTGATATCGATATATAGATTTCGTGCGGGGCGATATCGGATTCAACAATATTGCTGCGATATATAGATATTGAATCTATATACGATTTATATCACCCACTTCTACATCAAATTAACTTGGGTCTATAATTCTATTTATATGAAATTTATCGCATCTTGGCTTTAAGCTTACGGCATCATGCTCATGTATTTAAAAAGCCCTCTTTAGTTAATAAATAAAATCTACCTCCTTTATTTTAAACTAGCGACCCGCCCTCGCTTCGCTTCGGAAACATTAAATTTTATTATTGATAGGCGAGTCCCGCCATGTTGCACGCGGTACGACAATAACTGCGGGTGACGCCGCGGGGCGAAGCTAGTCTAAAAAAAGTAGCCTAAGTAGCCTATCTGTGAAAGTCTCGCCAAAATCGGCCCAGCCGTTCCAGAGATTACCCGGAACAAACAGACAGACAGACAGACAAAAATTGTAAAAAATGTTATTTTGGTTTATGTACCGTATATATATTCATATTATGCATGTAGTAAAAAGCGATTATTTCAATATTACAAACAGACACTCCAATTTTATTTATATGTATATTTTAAATGAAGTTTGGTAGAGAGCGAGGTTCCCTAGATGACGATGAGGTTTGTTGTTATTGCAGGAGTGAGCGACGAAGGTTTGGCGGCGCTGTGGGCGGGGTGCCGGCGGCTGCGCGAGCTGGACGTGTCGTACCTGGCGGGGCTGGGCGGCGCCGGGTTGACGGGGCAGGGCGGCGCCGCGCGGCTGCGTCGGTTCACGGCGCGCGGCAACCCCGCGCTGTCCGCCGCCGGGCCCGCCGCGCTGCTCGCCGCCGCGCCCTGTCTGCAGGTAACCCTTCGTGCGCCACCGGTGGCATGTAAACCGGCCACACATGTGTTGTATAACGACAGTGTCACCTAAGACAACGCGGCCCCGGTGACTAGACGTACATGACGTCGGGAACATTAAGTATAGTATATGATCCCGCTGTAAAACGATTGACATATTAAATTGAATATAAAATACGTTTCATCAAATAAACATCCGGTGAAGGTCGTTTTATAGCGGGATCTTAGACTAGTATATGCTCAGATTAATAAACAACATTACATTTTATAAATTTATAATAGCTTTAGAATTGTTATAGACTAAATTAGTTATTTGTCTTTTAAATTACTTTTTTTTTAATTTCTCCTTATAACAATTATTAATTATGAACCGTTCAATTTTTTTATTAAATTAAATATAATAGGAGATGGATCTGTGCGGGTGCGACGGAGTGTCCGAAGAAATAGTGGAGGCCGCAGTGAACGCCCTGGCGCTGAACCCGCGACACCTGCTCCTGCGGCTCGCGGGCACCGGCGCCGCGCAGGCACAGGTATCCAGCGCACGCCTCTCTGTGTCACAATCACCAACCACAAACAACTACTCACACATTTTCGTATATGGCAATTTTGATGTCAAAGTTACGACATATAAATATCCTTAATCAAACATTGAACATATAGGCATATATTAACCACTCACCGTCAGGTGGACCTTATGCTCGTCGGTTTATATGGGCAATAAAAATAAAAAGAAATATATTTCGATTATAATATATGTGTGTATGTTCCATCAAAACCCTATAACTTTTCCAAGCCGATGAGCTCTTTGTATATATCTAAAGAAATGCAAACAAAACAAACAAAAATTGAGTAAATGTGATTAAATATTGGTTATTAATAGTTTTATATATATATTAGCTTGAGCTTATTTTAATCATAGTATAATGATTAAAAAAAAATACGTTGTGGAATATCGAAGTGACCGTGTGTGTGTGCGCCAACAGGAGGAGCTGCCGAAGCACAGGCTGCTGACGGTGAACGTGGCGGACGACCTGTGCAACCCCAACATGAGGCCGGACTTCGTGGACCGCATATTCGGGAACGACTCCGACGAGTCCTTCGACGACCTCTACGACCACGACGATTTCGAGGACCTGTTCGGTTCGGGTGAGTTGCGGTTTTGTTTATATAAACACGTTGCACGTGGGACGCTCACACCGATACATTGTAACACTGAAGTCTGTAGTCGTCGTGGCCTAAAAGATAAGACGTCCGGTGCATTCGTGTTGAAGCGATGCACCGGTGTTCGAATCCCGCAGGCGGGTACCAATTTTTCCAATGAAATACGTACTCAACGTACAACATACGTACTCATGTTCACGATTGACTTCCGCGGTGAAGGAATAACGTCGTATAATAAAAATCAAACCTGCAAAATTATAATTTGCGTAATTACTGGTGGTAGGACCTGTTGTGAGTCCGCGCGGGTTGGTACCACCACCCTGCCTATTTCTGCCGTGAAGCAGTAATGCGTTTCGGTTTGAAACGTGGGGCAGCTGCTGTAACTATACATGAGACCTTAGAACTTGTATCTCAAGATGGAAGGCGCATTTACGTTGTAGATATATATGGGCTCCAGTAATCACTTAACACCAAGTGGGCTTGTGAGCTCGTCCACCCATCTAAGCAATAAATAAATAAAAAACTCGAATAAGTATCAAAACTCTAAGCAATGTGTCTTCAAATGACGTCACAAATAAGAGTACCTGTCATTTCGAATGGCTTTTTAGTATTGTACCGTAGTCCGTCTCGCAGTCGTCACTTCCATTTCGATGAACTGGCTTTTATTAGGATAAACTGTATCTATCCACCTGTGTTACCAGTATAATCAAATCTTTCAACTTCATTATCGTCGACTTCAAAACATCTCTTATTAACATCAATAAAAATTTGCAGACATATCAAAGAACGATGACAAGGGTGAGGATAAAAAAAAACCGAGTATTTGATTTTTATAATTGGCTCAACGTTAAAATGTGTTGTTATAGTTTTTAAAATGTTATATTTATACAATAATTAATAACGTATTAATTCGTTATTAAGAATGCAAATATCGAAACCACTAAACAGGAATAAATTAAATAAATAATAACATTTCAATTGCAGACGAGGAAATATTCTTAGAGGACGAGCTAGACGAATACGAGCAGATCTTCGCGTACGGAATCGATGTCCCCGACATACTCATATAGACTCCAACTGCCCACACACACTTTATTAATTCACATTTATCGGAATTATTCATCGAATATGGCAGTTTTATTTATAATTAGTTTTTAATTTAAACACAGTTTACATAGTCCATTTTCATGTAACAATAACGTTTTTTTCTTATCCTTTTGTTTCATTTTTTTTTCTTAATTTTAATCTGGTTTCTTTATATGGAGTTTCTGTGTTTTTTTAGCTCTGATATACTCTGTTTTTATTTAAATTACAAATATAGAGTAACTAATATTCAGAATGAATGAAAATTAGTCATCACTGTAATCTGTGCTCCAATATCAAATAACCTCTTCAGAGACATTGGCTTATTTGTGTACAATTCGTTTTTGTTTATTATTATCCATAAATGTGGCCATCATACTTTGTAATGAATATTCACTTTTTTTTTTACTTATTGAATTGTTTTCAATATAAAATAAACAAACCACAATAAAGAATAAAATAAATTCATGTTTTTTGTACTTTAAAAAATTCGTCCCTAAAGAGGTTAATAAAACATTGAAATTAAGTAACTGATGTGTATACGCTATATTTATCTGATGTTACTATAGATCATCATATTGCTAATTAAAGTCTGAAACAATGTGATAAAAAAATACAGCAGTATGTAATATAATTTTAACGACTGTTACATATGTTATCCGGTGAATAATTATAAAATTTATTCAACTTTGTTGTTCATTTAACATAGTTCACAAAATATATTACAAAAATATATAGAAGTTATTTAGTTGGCGCAAGGAATATTAAACTTTACTTGTCACACTTAACTATTGAATCCTTTACTTGTTGTGCAAATGGAAATTACTGAACTCATATGAAAATACTTAGCTTTAATACATAATAATGAATTAAATAGAATTGCTACACGTAGGGTGTTGATTAGTTTATATTTTAGAATTATAAAAATATCTTCACGGAAATGTGATATTTTGATTAATCTGTTAATTTTTTTTCTTTTGCAACGATTATCTTTTGTCTGATGAATTTCTTTTTTCGCTTTGCATGCATTACTAAGAAATCATACTGAATATATTATTATTCAAAGCATTGTCATCTGTTAGAATCGAAGTATTTTATTTTTTCATTCATTTAGATTAAAATGTTTGTTTGTGGTTTTAATGCTTTTTCTAATATGTTTTTTATAAGTTATTCCTACGTTTTTTGAGAACACAAAACTTAATCAAAGCATTGATTTTATTTATTTACGTTAATGGAGAGTTTAATTTAAAACGTCGCAATCAAAGGCCCTGTGTAAATATTTTTTTAGATTTGATTTGCTATTAATATTAGTTGAAAGTTTCCTGATGTAAGAGATATTTTGTAAACTGCACAATGTGTTTATACAAGTGATATGCGTTGTTTTGTGATTTGAGTTTCACGTTACATTTCATTTATATCATCATTCATTTACTTAACATTGATTTTTATTAAAAACACTTAGAATTGTTGTGTTCCGAGAGAAATGTGATGTTACTTCAATTTTTTGTGATATACTTTTTTTCATTTTGAGAACCACGTTACGCTTGATTCTTTTTAAAATATAATTAAGCGTATTTTAAAAACCTACAAAATACATTGTGTCCTCAACATCATCTTGTGTATTATTTAATAATAATATGTTTATATCTAACATACCTACTACTTTTTTTTTATTGCTTTCTACTTCCTATTTATCATTTTCATTATTATACTAATACATTTATTATGTGTATTTTGAAAATGAAAAACTAACATTTCTTGCCTTTGAGCTCATTTATCGATTTCAATAAAGTATACATATTCTATTTGGGGACGACCATTAATTTACGTAAGGTGTTCTAAGGGGGAGGGGATCGAGCTAAATCTTTCCGATCTCATTTGAGGAGGGGGTGTTTCGTTCACCCACTTTATCTCATTTTAAATACTTTTAGCAGCAGTAATGGAAGGGATTTTATGACCTGGAAACTAAGACCCTTAGGTCAAGTCTTATTGTAATTAATGTTCAAACTTTTTTTATATGAAAATTGATATTAAGAAATGAAATGAAATATAAACTCAGTAAAATGGTGGTTATTTACCGAGATTTTTCAGTGGACTTTTTGGAGGATCCCGAGAAGTTACGTTCAGCGGCTTTGCTTCATTTTCCCACATTTGTGCACTTTCACAGATACTAAACAGTTAATAAACTATGGTTATTATACACTTAAATCTGAAGAAACGCTAAATAGACAAAATAAAACAAATCACAAAATTTCACTCGCGTTCCCGCCAATACGTCAGTAATGGAGGGAAAAGTACAATGTATTTAGAACAAACTCAACAAAGGGGGTCTTAAATAGCAAAATCACAATATGTACCTTCGCAAAAAGTCGCAGAATATCGACATGCGTGCGGCCCATCCTGCACGTAGGTATTGTGCAAATGCGCAAATTGCAACCCTCGCGGATTGTCACAAGACGAGCTACTGTGCTTTTGTGTGCAAGCGACAACGGCTTAGAATGGCTAATTCAGAGCCAACTTGAAGGAGCAGAAAATTTTATTGAAAATCACTTAGATATGTTGATTCAAGTACGTAGTCACTCTTGAGGCCGTTAACGAGTCTCTATTGACTGAATTAGAATAAATCTTTTCAAAATTTTTGTTTATTATTTAATTTTATGATGGTAATTTTAAATTACTGTAATATTCACAAATACTAGTCTTTGCTAGTCTTCAATAAACGTAATAGAACAAGTTGTGTTTTTGTATTTTTTTTTTCTCAATAATCCAACGCAGCTAAAACATAATTTTTTAAGAATCTCGCGTGAGATTAAGGCAGGGTGTGAGAGTTGAAGAAAATCTTACGAAATCTCACAAAGGGGGGTCGAGGTTTGAAAAATTCGCAAAAAAGCCTCACGTACATAATTAATGGAAGCCCCTTTTAATATCTATCTATTTAAGCCAATTATGTTTTTATATATACATACTGTTGGACGGTTAATTTTTTTAGGGATTGGGTTCTGTAGGTGATGAGGGGCTATTTAAAAACACAACTGCTTCATTATAATTATATTGCAGATAGCTTGAACAGTTTTACACCATTCTTCAATTATTATTATCTTTATATTTTTTATAAAACTATTACATGTTTGTCTTGCTGTGTCTAGATGAGAAGTACTGACATTTTCTTACGAGAATACAATGATCTGTTTTTTAAACATTTAAAATAATTCTAATATTCGAAATCTAATCAAGTGTCAAGTGTTGCCTGCCATTACATTTATATACAAACTCCAACACATACATACATGTAGTAACTGGTTGATGTGATAGAACATTGTGGTCGATGGTGGGATTGTAAACAGGAACACAATAATAGAATCACAGAAAATCGAAGTCATTCTGCACAACCTAGAGATGATATATGATGATTTATAGAATCTAATAAGTATAACTGTTATTTGAAGACAGTACCCCACGCGAACACGAAGTTGCGTTTAGCATAAGACTGTTCAGTTGTAAAGCACTATTTTGCTGTATGGAAGACTTACTGATACTCTCTTTTACTCTTTTGGAATTAGGGCACCAAGACGAAAAGTCTTCTTCGCAATGAACGCGCTAACCTGGCAACAATTGATTGAATTGGATTCAATTCAATTGTTCCACTCAGAGACCCATACCGTATGTTCTACAGGGAGTGCTCTGAGGATTTGATTTCTTATTCTTTTATTTTTTTATTTTTTTTATTGCCTTTGTAGGCAGACGATCATACGGCCCACCTGATGGTGAGTGGTTACCGTCGCCCATGGACTTCAGCAATGCCAAGGGCAGAGCCAAGCCGCTGCCTACCGCTAATTTTAGCAATACTTGCCATCAGAATGATATTGATATGTGAGATGACAATAATAATAATCTAGAGAAGTCTGATCCTTGTGAAACGCCAGCTTTCGTTGTCACGGCACTGGAGCAACTAACGCCAATGACTGATGCCCCATCCACATACACCAGTTAACTTTAATAGATGTATTTCACTCTTGAAATCTGTTTTCAATATTCTTATAATTATATAATGTGATCATTCTTTACTCCTTTTGAATTTTGCACAGACTTTTCATCTATACATACATATAAATAAAATTGGAGTGTCTGTTTGTAATATTGAAATAACCGCTTTTTACTACATGCATATGAATATACCTAGTCTTGCCATAAATACTGAAACAAAGGAAAAAAAAATTATATTGCAAAGTATGGCTCAATCACTCCTTCATAGCTAATACCCCACCAAACCATCACTGATGTCGGATAGTGCCCACGTTGCACTCTGTCGACTAATTGGGAAGCTTCCTTAAAGCTTTGAGCATAAATGAGTCGTCTATTATCAAAGGTGGCAATCTGTGCATTTGGACAAAAAAAAATTATTGATATGTCAATACAGATTGATTTCAATATAATCGTCTCCTTCAAAGAATACGGTTCAAAACCTGCATTAAATAAAGGTTAATAGTTAACCTGTTATTTATCTAAGATGTCGTTCCGAAGAGTTTTGTGACTGCCAATGGAATACAAAGTCAATAATTCGTTTTTCTGATTTACCAATCATTGTCCAAAAGTCAGATTGCCGGCTTTGATAATAGTCGACTCNAATCGTCTCCTTCAAAGAATACGGTTCAAAACCTGCATTAAATAAAGGTTAATAGTTAACCTGTTATTTATCTAAGATGTCGTTCCGAAGAGTTTTGTGACTGCCAATGGAATACAAAGTCAATAATTCGTTTTTCTGATTTACCAATCATTGTCCAAAAGTCAGATTGCCGGCTTTGATAATAGTCGACTCAAATACGGTCATTTTGTTTGTTAAAATGTTCCTCAATTGTAAAAAATTTCTCATCCGTAAACAACATTTTTATATGACCTCCCTTTGCGTACCGATTCAGTAGTTGTTTCGATTTTATCACCCTATTATCTTTTAAATTATCTGTTAAGAAATGACCAGTACGTCTCTTATAGGCTGCAAGTCCTAAGTCATCTTTTAAAATACGCGATATGGTTCTAGGTGCTATCTTCATCTCCCGAGATAAAATCTTTTGCTTTCGGACAGGATTTCTTCGAATTCTTTCCCATACTGCTTTGACCACCTTTTTCGTACGAACACTACGTGGACGGCCAGATCTTTTTCTGTCACAAACAGAGGAGGTCTCATTGCACCTATTAATAGCGCGGTACACAAACATTTTACTAATACCAAGCGTACGGAGAGTTTTAAAAATTGCATTTGGCTCCATACCTACTTTGTGTAATGCAATCACAGCGATTCGGTTCTCTTTATCACCCCACTCCATATTAATATCGCAAAATATTGTACAATGTATTGGCGCCAAAATGAGAAAGCTCATTGAGCAATCATATAAAAATGACAGATTCCAAATTCAAATATAATATTTTGTTTATTTTTAATTGTAACAATATTTATGGCCAGAGTATATACGGTACATACACCAAAATAACATTTTTACCATTTTTGTCGGTCTGTCTGTTTGTTCCGGCTAATCTCTGGAACGGCTGTACCGATTTTGACAGGACTTTCACTGACAGGTAGGTGATGATATAGGAGTAACTTTAGCAACTTTTATTAGACCAGCTTCGCTCCGCGGACACCCGCGGTACGACAATAACCGCGGGTAACATCGCGGTACTCAACTATCAATAAAAAAAATTAATGTTTCCGAAGCGAAGCGAGGGCGGGTCGCTAGTAAATAAATAAAACTTCATTTAATTTAAATGAATCTATTATTATTACTATTAATATTACTACGATGGTATTAATTAAAGTTTTCATAAGTTTTTGATGTTTTTTAAAGGCAGTATTATGGTTCAATGTTGTTCTTATTTTATTCATTACTTAATCTCATGTTGTTTCAAATATATTAATTATAGTATTTTGAAGTTGGGAGTACTACTTTATGACAAATGTTTAAATTTACAAGTAATGAGTTGTCACTTCACATGTGAAAGAACTTGTTTTGTTGGTTGAAGTAATATTTTGATAAATTCAATAGAGGCCATAGTACTATGTACACTATTGTTAGAAGATGATAAAAATGTCAGTATTCCATTAAACAGGTTGATTAACAAAGACTAACTACAACTTGTGGCAGTATATAATCGTATATTCTAAATTATATATTATTGTGTTCTAAATATTTGCTCATTCAAGTAAATAAGCAGCTGTATAATCTGGATCTCGAGATTGAATGAACAAGTATATAAAATCGTATACAAAGAACATTAGAATATTCAGAAGCATATTAATTATCTTAAAGAGTTCCAGCAGCTAAGTACAATACAGAATTACTTTTTTTATAGACATAGAATCTGAAGTAATATAAAAAAACTACCTAAATTTTTATACCTGAAATAGAAAACATTTTAGTTGTCAACACAAATTCATCATGTTGTGTAAAATTATAATAATTAATTATTATTTTTTATTTTGTAATGAAAAAGTTATGATCATTTGAATGTTTAGCTTATGTGGCTATCAAAACAGGCAAAGGGAATGTTTGTGATCTCAATGGTGATTTTAATACATATTTTAGAGATTACAGCATGCCTTTGTAAGGCTTTAATATTTAAACAACATAGCTGATGCAGTGTTCAGTCACTAAATGCACAAGAAGTAAATCTTACCACCCAAAGTACAAAAATTTTGATAGTTGTGTTATTCAACTGTACTGAATATTTCATTATCAGACAGGCCAATAAACATATCAACTTTCACATAATAATAAGTACAAGATCAAACCATAAAACTTCCATTTAATAATTAACATCATAGTTTGTAGATTTTATAAACAAGTTCCACCATTTCCCCNTAAATGCACAAGAAGTAAATCTTACCACCCAAAGTACAAAAATTTTGATAGTTGTGTTATTCAACTGTACTGAATATTTCATTATCAGACAGGCCAATAAACATATCAACTTTCACATAATAATAAGTACAAGATCAAACCATAAAACTTCCATTTAATAATTAACATCATAGTTTGTAGATTTTATAAACAAGTTCCACCATTTCCCCATGAATCCAATATCAACGATACGGGAGGGGAAACTGAAATATGTTGGTTTCGTGTAGGTACAATGGGCCCTGTATAGGTCACAGGAATTGCTTAATTCTGAGGTATACATAACAGATAAAATTCCCAAGCTTCTATAATGAATAACTTCTTGATTGTAACAGGTGTCTAAAAATCGCAAGTGTTCGACTGCCTTTGGATTTAAACATTCTTCACTTACTAGTCCGACTTCATTATTTATAATTTTCAAGTTGTCTTTAAAATCACATTCTGTTGGATTATTTCTCGATAATACATAAAAGGTTATAATGCCAGTTGTCCACTTCATGGCTTTCATTGGATCATCTTGTATATCACTCCTTAAATCTTGCAACATTTGTCGATAATCAATAAATAAGTTCTTCCAGTAATCAGCCCATTTTTCAATAATTGTTCCTTTAAATTTTTCTGGGAATTTCACTTTGGTGCTTATATTTTGAACCGTTCCCGACACTTTATAAATACTTCGTAACATTTTGTGGTCTTTATTTATTACGAAGAAATACCAAATGTCATCCAACACATTCTATTTTATTTTATGTAGGTACATATGTAGTGCTCAATTTATTTTAGTTTTAATAATTTCAGTTCGGTGACATTTTCCATGACTAGTGATGTGCATTGCCTTCTAAAAATTTAGGCCTGTTATTTATGGTCACAACAATTACTTTAGTTTGAGCCTTTTTGCCGGAAATGCGGTGAGCGAAGTGTGAATTGCATTATTTTGTTAATTTAGTGGTTCTTCAATAATTACATAATTGTTGAATTAGGTCTGAGAGGAAAGTCTGATTTTATTTTTTCATGGCAAATCGATGATACGAGCAGCCCAATTAACAGCATGTACAAAGAGTATGCTACTTTTTTTTTTACCTACCTATGCTGATATCCTTGAGAGGCTATTTCAGCTTCACCCTAACGTATGTAGGTGAGCTCACGGGGCTCAAACCGGAGTGTTGCTAACACTGACCCTAGCAAGAGCAGTGCTTCGCAGAATCTACCACCGGATCGGAAACGCGACCCACTGAGAAGATCCGGCGAGAAACTCAGTGGGCTGTGTCTATAGGTTAATTCGCTCGTCGAGCCTTTCGTCCCAAGCGACGGGTTCGACGAGGACTGTGACCGGTGAAGTATGCTACCATTTCCCATGAATAACACCAATCCTAGAGCCACAGCTAAATCACCTGGTAGTAGGACCTATACTGGTGGTAGGATCTCTTGTGAGTCCGCGCGGTTAGGTACCACCACCCTGCTTATTTCTGTCGTGAAACAGTAATGCGTTTCGGTTTGAAGGGTGGGGCAGCCGAGGTTATATTTAATCTTTCTCTATGGGCAGCCGTTGTAACTATACTTGAGACCTTCGAACATAGATCTCAAGGTGAATGGCGCATTTACGTTGTAGATGTCTATGGGCTCCAGTAACCACTTAACACCATGTGTGCTGTGAGCTCGTCCATCCATCTAAACAATCAAAAAAATGACTGTCTTTTATTTAATATTTTTTATAGATTTCCTTTGAAAAGCCTGTTATATTTATTGATGACGGGATACTACGGCGGAAAGTAAATTTCAGAGCTGGAACTTTTCACCATTATTAATTGGGTAATATAACCCCTGGTAACGAACGGTTCGTTTTTGAGGGTTTTTTCAATAAGATAAGCTCTACGATTGCAATGATAACTGGAGAAAAAGATACTTTATCAAATAATTTCTCAAAGCTCTCCATGTGGAATGTACGAAGGAATATAGAGAAAAACCTAAACTCTCTGAAGTTCCAACATGTCCTATATTTAGGCGTGATGGTTATAAGATCGATTGCTGAGTTTTGAGATGTGTGTGTATCTACTTCAGCATATTTAGGTGCTATAGCAATAAATATATTGGTTGGTACTAAAATCATTAGTTAACTTCAACAGAAACTTTATTAAATTGTTTTTCATGTCAAATATCTTTGATCTAATTTCTGATACTAAAATTGTCAGTTTTTTTTAATTTATCAGGTGACATTGATTGTGCTGCAACCAACATTTTACCTATTAATAAATAAACCAAACACCATATCTAATATTTAGAAAACAAAACTGTTAAACGTATAACACAAGCCAGGTTCATCAATATAAGGGTCCAGTTTGTGGTCAAGTGTAACCGAATATTATCCTTTTCTAGTCGGCATATACCCGCCGACACCTTTCGCATCTCGTTTCATACGTGCATTAGACTCGAACCAGTTAGGCATTTGTGGTGGTGGAGGTGGTGATGGCATTTGTGGCATTTGTCTGACAACCTGGAATTAGTCAATTATAGTTTTAAGTCTACAAAAACTTGTAAGGAAAATATCTTAAGTAGCTACTTCTAGACGAATTTATATGCATTTTAATAAGTACTTAGTTGATTTATAATCAAATTAATAAAAATGAGAACTATATTTTACACAGTCGTAATAGAAACATTGCTTCGAATTTTATCAAACCCTAATAGTTCAAAATAAATACATACCCTCCCTAAGGTATGCGAATAGTCACTGAAAATTTCTGCTTCAGGTGGTTGAGGGGGGGCTGGCGGGTCCTGAGCGTAACTATAATTTAGTAAGTAAACAGTAAAAAGGACCAAAATAATGGAATGCTTCATCTTCTTACAGCTTTGAAAATATATTACCGTCTAATGGACACGGTTCAACTATATAACACGAATCGTTGGCTTGATAAACAATAAAACAACTTCCTGTGCGATTGTTTGCGATAGATCAGATAAAATGAAACAAGACGTTAACTACCACGATAGTATCTTAAACATGTCTCTTGCGTGCTAAAAAGCATAATTATTCTATATATCAGTTATTGAAGTTGGCTGTCAGAGTTAGATATATAAATGTAACATGTTAAAAATATGGAAGTTTTGAAAATAAGAGACGGATCAGAGTTTTTACTTGTGGCGGGGTCATTATGATTTCCACACACAGTATTATATGTATGTCTGCTTAGAAAAATAATCCTAAAGGATTTCAGGCGTTTCCGCTATGTATGTTCCGCGTAACAGAGTTTGCGGAGTATATGGAGCATCCAATCATTTAAAATGTTCCACTGTAGGTGGTCATTGATTGTAGTACGCGGCTCCAAAACGGTGTAAAGCCTCCAGTTTAAGTCGCGTCCCAGTTATGTGTTTGAACACATAGCTGCTTCGTGGTAACTACACCAAAGTCTAAAATGTAGAACGCAGCTGAGGCTACTTTCTTCAGACATACAACTGTTATTTCGACCTCATGTCTCGTGGAGTGTGACGACATTCATGCTGTGATGTCCTGTGGGTTCCGGTAACCACCTTAACATCATGTGGTCTTTGAGTTATTTCACTCATCAAGGGTGAATAATAAAGCAAAATAAATAAGGTGTTGTTGAAAAAACTGAAAATTGTTTCAAACTGTAAGAATACGATTTTGGAGGGTAATTTCTGAGAGTGTACATACACGTATACATCTCGTTCAGTTACGTGTCGCTTTTATGTAGAATAAAGTAGGTAAAGCGACTAAATATGTTTTAAAGTACCAGGTTAACATCAATAATTATTTTTGAATTCGTTCTTCCATTCAGCACTGCCAACTAGTGCCAACCGCTTAAAACTAAATTCAATAGTAATACAAAAATTTCAGACATCCCAACGTGAATACCACCACCCACCATAAGTCTTGAGGGAGGCTATGTCTTAATTGAATTGGAACTACGCAAATTATAATTCTTCGCAGGTTTTATTTTATTCTTGCATCGACTTGCGTTTCTTTGTAAATTATAGTACATAATATTTAAAGGAATACAAATTTTTGAAGTGAAACTTCCTTATCGGCGTTGGAAAAAAATTTACCGTCACATTTTTCGGTTACGCGTCACATTTTTCCGTTACGCGCCATCTGTTTTGTATTCATGTCTATGATAATAAAATCCTTTTGTTTAAACTTTATCTAATTTAACTTTTTT